CTTCCTCTTTTTTTGGAACTCACTAACATAACTAGACTAGCTGGCCAGTGAGCCCCAGGGGTCCTCCCTGTTGTCCAGTACTGGGATTAGAGGCATGTACAACCATAGTCAGCTTCAAGAATGTGTGCAGCCACTTTACCAACTGAACCATTTCCGCAGCCACCTTCTTACTCTTATGTGGGAACAAGAGCTCACTGATGTGCTGTGAGCTCACTCTGTAGCCCAGGCAGGCCTTAAGCCATGATGTTTCTCATCCTCCTGAGTAGCTGGGGTTACAGGCTTGTAACACTTGCTCAGTACCTAGTCTCTTAAAAACAGATCAGAAGAGCCAGAAGAAGAATGTGGTCCCTGCTTTTTTGCAAAGGATCCCAAAATCTATATCCCTGAACTTCCAGAAAAGTCACTCATGAAGGGGGTGCAGTGGCAGGCATGAGGCCCACATGATCCTGGCAGGCATTCGGAGGGACGGTGAGACAGACGGGCAACAGGAGACCCTGTCTCAAAAGTAAAAGCTGATCTTGCAGCCTCTAACCTGATTAGAGACAGCCAGCTTACTGCACTGTAGTCTGATGCAACACCATGCTGGCTGGGGCCCCCACAACTGTAGAAAAGGAGAGAGCCCACGCCTAGCACAACCACAGCAGAGACACACAGGCTCAGTGGCAAGCTGCTGGCTTTAACATCCCCCACCACAGGGCAAGGGCCAAAGGAAAGAGTAAGTTAATGAAAAACAAACTATAACCATTGGTGTTTGTAGAGTTTGAGAACAGACAGAATCCTCCTGCTCAGCCTCATGAATGTAGAGATCAGAGCTGCTACACCAAGCTCTTGTATTTTTTCCTTTTCTTTCAGACTTCTAAACTACATCTACAAATGTGCACATGAGCACACAGCATGCGTATGTAGGTCAGAGGATAGTGGGAATTAGTTCACATCTTCTATGATATGGAGTTTCAAGGATTCCCTCTCCCCACCCCCACTCTTGTGTGCCCCCTCCCCACCTCCCTCCGTGCCTCCTCCTCTCTCGCTCTCTCTCTCTCTCCCCCCCCCTCCCTCCCTCCTTCCTCCCCTCCCTCCCTCCCTCCCCCCCCCTCTCTGTAGCAGTCCTGGGAATTGAACCCAGGACCCTGTGTACCTGTGTATTCTAGGTCAGTGCTCTCCCTGTGAGCTACATCTCCAGTAAGGCTATTTCATTTGCTCCTTTGCAGTGGCTAACTTCACACGAGGCTAGAATTCAATCTTCTAGAAGGCATTCTAACCTAATGGCTGGTGCCCATCCCTCTACTAAACGGCCAGGGATGAAACAAAGACAGGCTCATCCTGAACAGGACCTCAAACAACGTGACAAACACATGGGAGGCCCCTGGTCTCTGTGCTTCATACTGGAATACATCCTGGGGGCGGGGGTGTTTTCTTGAGGCTCCAGCCCTTCTTTGAGACGTCTTTGAGACAAGGGTTTCATGTGACCTAGGCCAGCCCAGATTGGCTGTGTCATGGACCACTCATGAATTACTGATCCTCTTGCCTCTATTCCAACTCAAGTGATGGAACTAGAGGCATGTGCTACCGCATTAGACCATGCTGTCCTGGGACTGACACCGGGCTGTGCTTCCACATTAGACCATGCTGTCCTGGGACTGACACCGGGCTTCTGCATGCTCGTGAGTGGTGATCTACACCCCAGTGCTCATAGCCTCTTTTAAGTACTTTTGAAGGTGTTTCCTTTGTGTTTATGGAAATAAAGTTCTAGCTCACTTTAAAAAAAAAAAAAAAAAAAAGGTATGTGGTGGTGCAAACCTTTAATCTCAGCACTTGGGAGGCAGAGGCAGGCAGATCTCTGTGAGTTTGAGGCCAGCCTGATCTACAAAGTGAGTTTCAGGGCTACAGAAAAATTCTATCTTGAATTCCCCCACCCCAAAAGAAGAATGGATCTGGGGAAAAGGGGACATGGGGAGGGGACTTCAAGGAGAGGAGGGAGGGGAACCTATGGTTAGAAAATAATATGTCAAAGAACTAAAAAAAAAAAAAGACAAAAGCTGGCCAAAGTTGAAACAACAAGACTGGCCAAGGCACTGGAGCCTAGCAGGAAAACCCCTGCACTAGGAGACAGCCCCTGGGAGGCTGCTGACCAGCAAGGGCTAAGCAAATGTAGGCAAATTTCCACCAGCACCGGGCAGGTTGTATGCACATCATGACAAGTTTCTCCTTTTGCCTGGCTGGTGCACACACTGGCTGAACTTACTAGGAACTTACATGACACTGGGAGTCAAACTGTCCCCATGTAAACAGAGACAAGGAGTCCAGGAGACAATGCTGATGGGGCGCTTAGGCACCAGTGTCAGGCAATTTCCTGCTACTCTGCTTCACTGCAGGAGATCTAAGCCTCATGGGTTCAAAAGCATCTGGCCATCCAGCATGCACAGACTATGATCTTAGCTGGGCTACTCTGGTCACCTGAGCATAGCTAGGCAGCTGTGGCCCCTCAGGTCACTACTGTGTAGATGAGGTATGAGGTAAGAAGTCTGTCACCTGAACACACTACATTGTTTTAAAGCCTAGGGCTGGAAGAAGCCTGAAGGACAGCATTGGGTATGGCTCTCCGGCAGAGCCGGTTACCTCGGCTGATGCGTTGCTTCTCTCCAGACAGGATCCCAGGAGTGTCGATGATGCTGATGCTGTCCAGTACTGGGTTGGGCAGCTGTGCACACATGAACCTGTAGGACAGCAAAGCCAGAGATACATCAGGGCGGGATGGACACTAATCCAGGTATCAAGGGAGGGCTTTTTCCCCTCTCTTTCCTTGGGAAAAACAAACTGGGACCGCTATCAGAAGTGTCCAGCTTTAGAGTCACAGTCCTTCCCTCCCTGTCACTCTCCTCCCCAGAGCTCAAGAGCTCAGCTCTCAGATGCTGAGTTGTTAGTGAATGTTCTGTGAGCTCAGACTGTGCTCCAGCTCTAAAGAAAGACAGATGCCTGACACCGACAACGTGCAACTCCACCTTAAAACTTTTATCCAGGTATGGTGGTGCACACCTACTGTCCCAACACTTAGGAAACAGAGGCAAGAGGATTAATGCTAGTTAAGTTCCAAGCCAGCATGGTCTACACAGGAAGACCATGTTTCAGAAGGAAACCTAAAGCAAAACAAATCAAAAGAATCGGGTGAAGGAAACACTCAGTGAATAGAGCACTGGCCACCGACCCCGACGGCCTCAATTCAATCCTCCGGCTACTCCACACAGTCCACCGACCATACGTGCTGAGCGACTATGCTTGCACAGAATAAACAGATGTAAAAAACAGTAACAAAGCTGGGCATGATGGTGCACGACTTTAATCCCAGCACAAGGGAGGCAGAGGCAGGGGGATTTCTGAATTCGAGGCCAGCCTTGTCTACAGAGTGAGTTCCAGGACAGCCAGGGTTATGTAGAGAGACCTTCAAAAAATGAAACAAGACAAATAATAACAACAACAAAGAAATCCCAACCATCTGGCTACACTCCCACACACTAAAAGAAGAGCCGTCTCTTTCTGTGTATGTGTAGGGTGCACACGGAGGCTAGAGAATAACCTCAAGTGTATTCCTCTACCTTACTAAGACAGAACTTCCTACAGACTCAACTAGGCTGACTGGTTAGTGGGCCCCCAGGATGCACCTTGGTCTCTTCTACTTACCACCCTACTCCAACCCCTGTGCTGGGATTACAAACTTACAAAACAATCCCAGTGTTTACAATGTCTACAAGGGTGCTGGGACTCTGAACTCAGGTCTTCACCTTACCACTGAGCCACGCCCACAGCCCCTGCTGTCGAGGCCAGCTCCTTGAAGTTGCAATGGGCCACCAGTAGTCAGCGGTGTGGAAGGAGTACAGACACACCATTTCAAAATCAAAACCACCTTAGGAAGAGGAAGCCACAATAGAGGGCTATTGGTGAGGCCTGGGTGAGGGCTTAGCTGCATACCTGAGTTCCACGTTGAGCTAAGAGTTTAGCAGAACAGCTCAGAGCAGCTAACAGCTGTTGTAAAGGGTGGGATTCTTTTAAAAACCTCTCTGAGCAAAGAAAATACAGAACCGTGGTCTGCCAGATATAGGCTTAAAACTGGGCTTCCAACAGCAGGAAACAAGTAAATGCGAGTCTTCTGTGGCTCCACACCCCCAAATTATGATAGGTCTCCCTATAAGCTAGGGACAGAAAGCCCAAAGGAAAAGGCACTGTGCCCAAGAGTAGCAGACCCCAGTGCTGTAAGTCACTGCACGGCAGACCTCAATTCCCCTTGACTGGGAAGAAATTCCTATACTCACTGGAGAGGGGGCGGGGGGAGAGAGACAGAAAAAAAGGAGTGGCAGTGGAGCTCGCTGAAAAGTGACAGACATAAAGGAGCGTTTGCACATGAGCACCCACTACACTACAGGTAAGTGGACAGCAAGAAGGGCAGGAGACTGTAAAGATGCCTCCCTAGCAACAGGGACTTCAGTCCTTAGAACTGGTGGGTGGGTCCAGTTATGCAAGCAGGGGCGCTCACAAACCCCTTTTGAGAATTGTTTTATGCCTGTCTCCATCTGTTCCTCTCACTATCGCTCAGCAGCCATGGGGGTGGGGGGTTAGCTAATAAATCAAATCCAGGATTCAATGGGTCCCTTTAAGAGTACCAGGAAAAGCTGTATCAGCCAGAGAAAAGCCCCCTTTGTGGTGCCCGCCCTGGCCAGAGGCGCATCCTGACCTAGCTCCGGTCTTGGACTTCACCAGCATTTAGAGACCCTCTGGAACTGGGGTGGTGGCAAGAAGGAAATGAAGTACAGTTCTTAGATCCCTGGACTCCATGCCAGGGCTTCTGCACTGCTCCTTTTGGGAGGACAGAGTAGCAGTGAGTGTGCAGAGCATGGCCTTAACCCTGACAGTTCAGCGGGGCCTGGGGTTCATGAGTTTCTGAGCTGGGGCTGCTGGGATGGTTTGTGAGATGCTTCTAGCTCTTCAAGCAATGCATTTCCACAGGTGGGAAACTGAGACGGTGTCAAGTTCCTTGTCTCAAAAGAGGTCTGTCCTCACAACGAGGTGAAGACATTGGAGGACAGCAATAGTTAGAAGAGCAAGTCTTCCTGTCCCTCCTGAAGCAGAGACCTAAAGCATGAATGAACTCATCAGCCCAGCAGCCAAACTTCTCACAAGACCAACTGCAGTCTGAGCCGATGGCCTACCTACAGGGGCAGCAAAGCTCAAACATCCTTAGGCAAAGGCTCCAGGCTAAGGGGACTAGAACATTGCACTCGACCCAGGCCAGTCAAGCAAACAACACCATCATGAAACAAGACAGGCTGAAATTACCTAGAAGGGACAAAAAGACATTAAAGATCAGCTCCATGAAAGGAGGCAGGCCTGGCAACAAGCTTGCTCTAGAACAAGCTGGCCCGCCCTGTATGGCTGGACAGTGTCTACAGAGGAATGTGCTCATACAGGGCGGAGACCTGGAAAGCAAGATTCAGATTCTTTCCAAGGCTGTTCCCTTGGGCTGAATGCAGCCGCTAAAAGGCATGTAGAGTCACTCCTTGAAAGAGGGAGCAGAGAGGGCAGGGTCTGTGAGTTCTGTCATACCTCCTGGGGGAGGAGTCTGGGATGCCCCAATGCCCTTAAAGAAGTGATCCTGGGTGTTAAAGCTCCTCAGGCAGGCCACTGTGATTCATTCATAGCATCCCAAGGGGCTGAATCTAACTCACCTCACCCCTTTAACTGGTAAAGCTGAGACTCCAGGAGGTACATAAAAGTCTATCAAATCTTTAGTAGAGTATGGGTCTGGTCATTTCAGGAGTCACAGTGTTACCACCTCCTGAAGTCTCTTGAGGCCAACACTGACTTAAGTTTTTGTTTTGTTTTGTTTGAGACAGGGTTGTCTCATGTACTCCTAGCTGACTTGGAATTCACTTAAGTGCTGCTTTTAGGAGCAGTGTTGAGACTCCTTCATACCCTGCCTTCAAAGAGGGCTGCCCCCAAACCGGCAGACCAAAGCATATCCTCCTTGCCCTTCCTACACAAAACCACTGGTCCCTGGAGATGTGAAGCAGAGAGTGACAAACCAGCAAAAGGAACATCTAAGTCTCGGGTTTTCCCATGACACTTAAAAAACAGACCCCAGTGGAGGAGGAAGGTGATGAAGATGAGTTGGGTGCCTCCAGAATGAGGAACAAGAAAGGGAGGACAGCAATGGCTTATCTTCTCACAGCGGGTCCCCGCTCTGTGGGAAGTAGGACTGGGGTCTGCGGGAGGGTTTGAGTTAAATTGAAAACCTGGAAGGTTCTGGGAATGACAGAAGCCAGAAGAGTGGACTATGCCTATTCCCTAACTACTCTCGGGTAGTTAGTGGGACACAGTAAGGCCAGTGTCCCTGGCAGTGGTCATTTAGGGTCTGGCAGAGGCCCTCGGAGACAAAGGCCGGCTGGGGGCAATGGCTCCGGAGGCCTTTGGTGGTCCTCGCGCTGGGGAACAAGGGGTGGGTACCTGTTGAGGAAGGCGTTGCCGAAGGCGTTGAGCTTGCGGAAGGGGCGCCGCGGGTCCACGACGAGCGCGTTGCCGGGCACCACGCCCTCGGTGGGGCCATGCATGACCGCGATGAAGGAGTCGGTGGTGGGCTCCGGCCCGATGCGCATCCCTGGGAAGTCCTGCTCGATCAAGTGGCGGATGAAGGTGGTCTTGCCGGTGCTGTACTGGCCGACCAGGAGCACCATGGGCTTGTTGTCGAAGTCAGCGTCCTCCAGCGCGGGCGAGTGGAACTCGTGGAAGCGATAGTGCTCCTCCAGCGGCAGCAGCTTCTGCGCGTATAGCTGCCGCAGCCCCTCGGCCACCGTTTGGAAGAGCTCCGGCTCCTTCTTGCGGCGGGCATCCTTGCTCACCCAGCTGAACATGCTGCCGGAGACAGAGCTGGCTGCTACAGGACCGAGCGGCGGCTGAGCGGGACTGGGGCGCGCGGCCGAGGAGGGGCCCGCCGGCCGGCGGAGGGCAGAGGGGCAGGGGGCGGGGCGCGGCCCGCACCGCGCAGGCGCAGGCTCGAGGACCGGTGTACAGACACGAGAGCGCCCTCTACTGAGGGTCGCGCGAGCCTCGCCGAGCGGCCCCTAGATAAGCCGGAGCCCCGGGTTCCAGGACGCTGGCCGCCGCCTCAGGGCGGGCTCCAGAGGAGGAGAGGGAAGGGCCCTTCAGGCCCCGCCCCATTCGCATGCCACGTCCTCCCCTGCTTCCCATTGGCTGATTTCAAATATCGCGAGCTCGTGGCTGCGGTGCCCTGGCAACCGCACCTGTTTTGCTCCGCCCCTCGAGGGATGGCTTGCGGAAGTGCTGCAGTTGCGGGCACCAGAGTCTGGTGTCAAGATGTACTTTTAAGCCTGAGCACGGGGCTTCCGGACACCCCGAGTACTTCAGCTGCGCTCCCCAACTGCAGTGTTTCCACCGGCTAGGAACTCCCAAAAGCATCGGAAGCCTCACTCTTTGGTCTTTTAGCGACTCTGGAGAGGGACAGGACAGCGGGAATAGGGAGAGCCGGGGTAGTACAGGACACCGGGAAGAGGAATATCGGTAAGGAAGGAGAGGAGTGCGCCGGGACTCCATTCAGGCTGATGGGAGAGGGACACAGCAATAGACACCATAGACGTGACCTGGCCGGGAGGTCGCATCGAAGCGGTGTCAGCTGCGGAATGGGGTAAAGAAGTTGCAGATTTCTGGCCTGATGGGTTTGGAGGAAGTGAAATCGGAAATTCCGTTTGTAAGGAAGAGGGGAAGTGTTGAGCAACAACGAAATGTTGTGGGAACTTGGGGGAAATTAAAAGCCCCAAAATTTCCGCTTTCCTGTCAGGGACATCACCAGTACCATCTCTTGTTCCGTTCTGAGTCCCAACCTCCTTCCAGTTGTTAGCTGTTTCACAGGGCTCACGGCCCCGCCATCGTCCCTGGCCACACCTAAGCCCCCTTGGCTGTGTCTGCTGGTGACAATTTTTAGTGGGTGATGTCAGAGATTTGGGGACTATGATTGTTAGGTAACTAGTATCAGGTCACCCAAGTGGGAGGAGGCTCTCAGGGCCATTAGAGAAGTGTAAAAGGCACCTGAGGAGTTGGTTACCACACAGTTGTGGACTCAGCTGTTTGGAAAGGTTGGAGGATCACTTAAACCCACCAATATGAGGCCACCCTGGGCAACAGACTCTGTCTTACAAAAAAAAATATTTATCGATGAGGCTAAACTCATAACTTAATGGTAGAGCACTTGCCTAGCTTGCACAGCCAATAGGGCCCGTCCCCATCACTCCTAGAACCAACAAAAAGTCTTGGCAACTTGAAAGCCTTGGATCCAACTTGATACCTTTGAGAGGTTTGGAAGCCTGTGAGTTAGACACCTATGTGGGGCAAGAGATTAGGCTGGGAGGAGCAAACACTGGAATCTCATTGGAAGATAGAGCAATGTGTGTATTGAGGGATCTCAGTCAGGTGGGATCCAGAGAGGCGAGGTGGCGAGGTTTGGTCATGCACGTCAGAGAGCAGCAAATTCCACCTGCTTGCAGGCTCTGGGCCATGACTTCTTAATTCATCTGGAGTTTCTCCTTGTTTGTGTGGTGGAGAGTGGTGTGAGTGTGCCATGGGGGGATGAGTGTGCCATTGGGTGGTGTGAGTGTGCCATGGAGGTGAGTGTGCCATGGGATGGTGTCAGTGTGCCATGGGGTGGTGTCAGTGTGCCATGGGGGTGAGTGTGCCATGGGGTGGTGTCAGTGTGCCATGGGGTGGTGTGTGTCATGGGGGTGAGTGTTCTGAGGGTCGAGGTGAGTGTGCCATGGGGGTTGGGGTGAGTATTCCATGGGGGTTGGGGTAAATGTGCCATGGTACAAGTCAGAAGACAGCTTTCAGGAGTTCTCTGTTGAGGCTAGGCCCTGGTTTTTCCTCCCTGCTCCATGCTCCCAGAAATAAGACTCAGACTAAAAATATATTTACAAACATCTTGGCCGTATTCCAAGGCTCTTCTCTGACTGACTAGATCATAACTTAATATAACCCATTTATGACAACCTGCATTCTGCCACGTGCCTGGTGAAGTGTGCTCAGATACCACACTCCTTACATCTTCCTGGCAAGTCTCCCACTCCTCCTCTCCCAGAATTCTTTCTCCTCATGATGTTCCACCCTCTATTTCCTGCCTAAGCCACAGGCCATAGGCTTTTTAGTTGACAGGTGAGGCATGCATACACTACATAAATGTTCCTCTACAATTCTCTCCTTCCACCATGTGGGCCCTGGGACCCGAGCTCAGGTCATCACAGCCCTGACACGTTTTGTCCCACTGAGCCGTCCCGACAACCCTCATCTTGTCAGGGTTCTTTCCATCCATCACAGTAAGACACAGAAGTCATGGGGCCCTTGTTTTAGAAAGAAGGTCTTGGACAGGGGCTGTCACCATCACCTCTGTGCCAACTCGTGACAGGAGCCACAGGCAAGCCCAGTCCAGACCTCGGCCAGCCTGGGAAGCTAAATGATTTTTGCCTCCTACACAGCCTAGATGAGGGTCCACCCCGGAGATGTAATTTCAGGGCTGGTTCAGAGAAGAGCTGGAGGCAGAGGATCCTAAATGAGGCGGTTGTTTAGACATGTGAATAGCTGCACGGAGCTGTGTCTCCAGCAGCACTCACACCAACTGGTCATGGTTTTCATGTCTCCTCAGTCCAGTGTACTGAGAAAACCCAGCCCCAGAAAACTGAAAACAAAATGTCCTGGGTTATTTATAAATGAAATGAGATGTGTGTGTTCACTCAGCTTTGTCCCAGGAACTGAGAGGGCTAGAAAGAACTCTCACCCTTCCTCTTTCCCTCCCTCACTGAGGCTCAAGGGGCCCGGAAATTAACTCCCTACTTCCCCAGGTCCTGAGGACCTTCCTATCTTGTAATGTCCCAGATTGCAAAACGTCTGATTTCCCTCCCGTTCCTGAGTAGCACACTTGGTGTTCGGTGGGAAGGTGTAGAGAGCGAGCAAGCCAAGTGCACTTTTAGTTTCTCTACTATTTGACCTTCTATCTGCCTGAGTCAAGAACAGATGTGCAAGATTCAAGTATTTTTCTTATGTTAAAATCCTTGCCCACTGCCAGTGATGTTTACACATACATACACACACACTGACAGGACAGGCATTGCCCCCAGCAGGAACCTCCCACCTCCTTGCCTTCAGTCTCCTTGGTCCCCTATTGCCCTGATCTAAGAAAGTATTTTTGGGCTGGGCCTAGTGGCACCTGCTTTTAATGCCAGCATTCAGATGGCAGAGACAGGCAGGTCTCTGTGAGTTCAAGGCAAGCCTGGTCTACAGAGTGAGTTCCGGGACAGCCAGAGCTATACAGAAAAGAAAAGTGTTTGCAATATCCCTAAAAACAAATTTTATTTTATTATTTTTTTAACAAATTTTATTTTTAAAACAACATTGTGTGTGCGTGTGTGTGTGTGTGTGTGTTGTATATGTATATGTCTGCAGTGCCATTGGAGCTAGAGAGCGTATCAGATCCTCTGGGACAAGAGTTAAAGCCACTTGTGAGCTATCATGTGGATGCTGGGAATCAAACCCCGGTCCTCTTGAGGAGCATCCAGTACTTAACTGCTGAGCCCATCTCATCGTGTCCAGATTCCTCTATCCCCTCCCCTTTTTGAGATGTGGTCTCACTCTGTAGTCCTGACCTAACACTATGTAGACCAACTCAGAGATCAGCTATCTCTGCTTCCTGAGTGCCAAGATTAAAGGTGTATACCACCATATCAGGCTTCCTAAAGACAACTTTAAAAAAGTGGAGGAGCTTTTCTCCAAATATGGCAAAAGAATTAGACTGGGGTAAGCCCAAAACCCAGGCTTCTCCCTGGTTGAGCCGAGGCTCATTCTTTCCACTTAGGAAGTCTCTACAGAAGCACAGACGCGCTCTCGCAGTTAGGAGGAGATTTGGCAGCGGACCAGTTCTATTAAAAAGTAAACAGGACTGGAGAAATGGCTTAGCTGCCAAGAGCATTTGCCATACAAGCATAAAGACCTAAGTTCCAATCCCTGGCACCCACATATAAAGCCTGTAACCCCAGAGCTGTGATAGCAAAGACAGCCTAGCTTCGAGTTCAACCGGAGACCCTGCTTCAGGGAGTGACATAGGAATTAGGACACCTGACACTCCCCTCAAGTCTCTCCGAGCACAAGGGCTCAGGTGCGCCACATAAACCCAGGCACCTAGAACCGATCCGGGCGCACTTGCAGTTACTTTTTTTTTTTTTTTTTTTGGTTTGCATTTACCTATGAGTTCAAGGCCAGCCTAGGCTACATAGTGAGTTGACCAACCAGAATTGTGATGAGAGGTGGTTTCTGTATTCAACAAAAGGGGGGCGAGGTGGGTGGGGTCTGTTCTTCCTCCACATACTGGGTTTTTAGTGTTGGCTGGATTCTTGGTCGCTCTCAAATACTAGTAAGGAAAAAGTCTGAGCACCCAGGGTGTCAGGTGATTTGCCTGAAGGAAAAAATGAGACCTTTGGAATCTGAACTACTTACACTGGCCCATCCCACCTCAAGGTCCGGCATGTGGAAAAGCAGAGGCTCAGAGCCTCTTTCTAAAAACAGGCTAGAGGACACTCTGCTCTGAGACTCACAGCTCCTTAGCACGTTACACATTAGGCATGCCCCTGCCTCAGGTGATACCTGTACCTGACAGTGTGCACATGCAACCACACAGTGCTTTGCAAAGCTGAGGTCTAGGTTCCTCTGAATGCTTTTAGTCAAACGACAGAAAAGTTCAGGGTTCAAGTTGAGTGCTTGCCTCATACAACACTGTTGCTTGTATACCAGCACAGTACATAAACCAAGCATGAATGAAGATGGACTCAGAAGGTGCAAGTAGGAGGATCAGGAATTCAGGGTTACCCTTGGCTACCTATGAAATTCAAAACCAGCATTCATTC